CCGCCGAGCGCCTGCCCGGCTGCTGCAGCAGCGGCGCGCATCGCTCGCCCTGAACGTCCCGTCCTGGCCACCGATGTCTCTCACCGACACACCGCCGCTGCCCGGTTGGAGACAGGCTTTCGGCCAGCTCCTGGCCGGCAAATAAGATGCAAATTCAGCCAGCAGTGAAAGGGCAAACTCCAGCGCTTACAGGAAGCCTTGGTGAATGTTTAGTGCGCAGAAAGGAGGAGTTTCTAAACCTTCACTTAAAAATGTTTGCTTTAAGGGTTCCACCCAGTCTTTCTCCTGCTCCTTCTCCAACAAAGCTTAAAATAAATAGTGCTATTTCAGCCTTAAATGCAGAGTTAAATGACTTCAAGGGTTGATTTAACTATAGCTTTACTCTTTTCAGTATATTTTCAATAGATTCGTGAATTGCTTTCAAGGCTCTGTTTCTGTGGTTACCCGCTAAGCTTATAGTTGTGGTTTGGCAAATGCATGATGAGGCAAAAAAAAAAAAAAAAAAAGGAAAACAAAACTGCCAATGCCCTAAACAAACAACTTTGTAGGGGTACAGAGTGATTATCATTTTGGTACATCAAACTGACCACTGGCCCACCTGTTCCTTCAAGTGGTGTAACCATAATGTGGAGCTACATATTCTACCACTGCTATTTGGAGAAAGACGTTTTTGAAAGGTAGCTTTTGAAGAAGTACTGTAATTTCTATATACTTCTTGACAACTTTTGGACAATCTCACACTGCAAGCAGTGAACGACTGACTTGACCCATTTCTTTCTTAAAAACAGAAGTTTCCCCACTATGTAGAGAAGTGGTGGTTTCTTACAGCGTTACAGAGGCCGCACAAGTTGCTGCTTCTTTTCCGTTGGATGATGTCATGCCCTGGTTTCCTGGGTACCCAAAGTCCGTGGGATGGAATCTGAACTCATTTAGTCTCCTTGTTTCCTCAGAAGGCTGGAAAGTGAATGAACCTGTATTTTCTTCTGTAATGGCTATGATCCACTGTCCCCGTGCTCCCATATGTGACTCAAATTAAAATTGCTCTGTGGTATCTTCTCATTTCTTTGGGCGACAGCAGTGCACTGCCTATCCCATCCCAGAGCAATCCCTAACGGGATGAGTTACTCTGGCAAAAACTGGAGTTGTACTTCCTCTCCTCTTTCTCACGTTCCTTTTGGCCATGCTCCCCCCTGCCTCCTTCACTGGCTGGTTCAGACAGCTTGGCTGGGATTCAGTTGAAAGCCAGGACACTTACATTTAGGTATCCACAGGCAGGTGCCTACCTGTGCTCTAGTGTGTCTAAGCTTTCATTATTGCCAATGGAAACGTAGTTAGGACAGTCACTGACGCTTAAAGAGTGAGCCAATCGCCCTAAAATAGACACATTGGGATGGGATTCATTACCTACACAAAGGTGCTAGTGCAGTTTGGTGCTGTGTAGCCTCCAGATCCCCCTCCAGAACGGAACAGGATCTTCTGTAGGCCCTGTGTCATACGTGCCAGCCTCCTGTGGCTGTCTGGGATACAGTAAGCTATCCACAACGGTACTGCATGTCTCTTTCTGGGCAATTGAGTCTCTTGTATCATGGCTGATCTACTGGATTCCCTTCAGGATGCGCTCCCGGTACTGAACAGATTTCCAATGCATTTATGAGAGCTTGAATAGCTCATCACATGTGGAAAGAAAACATCTGCCCTGAACTGAGTCCCACTGCCAAAGTCCTGATCCAGTGGCCATGCCTTGAAATTGCGAGACAAATGGCAATGAGAGCATTACCTGGTGGCTCAAATCTCCTAGGAAGTCAGCTGTGTCAGAAACAAAGACAGCTCTGGCCAGTTACTCTTCTAGATGGCCAGGCTTGCATGCATGTGTGCACCTTACACCATTTGGCCTGTTGGTGCTTGTTTGGCCTTGTCTTCTTTCCTCACCGGTCAGTCCCTAGCCACACCATTTCTGTAGTGTTCTGTCCACCACTGCTCTGTGCAAACACAGAGACACAGCAAAAACCAAAAGGGAGCAGAATTTACTTGCACACAAATATTGCCTTTGACCTGTAAAGCACAGTCCTAAACTCCACAGAGCCATCTCCTCCTTGGAACAGGCATGCTTCAGTCTGGTCTGGGAGACTGTATCAGAAACTGCCTAGGATGTGCTGGGAAGACAATGCAACCCATGTCTCAAGGATGGACGATATGGGACTCGTGGTGTACCCACCCTGCCCCTTGTATCTGATGGCCATTGCCTTTCACAACATCCCCCTTAGCCAAGCTACTCATTTCACATTATGATTCTGCAAGTACCTAATCCCATGCAAAATTCATTAACAAGATGATCAGGCACCCAAACAAGCATCCTCTTGTTGTGGGAAGGGCTCTTTGATGACAGTGCCTTTAGTCTAGGAAGCAGCATCTTGGGTGTTAGTTAGGGAAAGAAGAGGGAGCAGACGTGGAATAGGGCCTCATGCTGAAAAGGCCTACTCCGGAACCATCCCTGGATGCCCAAAGCAGGGGCATCTGAGCTGAGGGACTTCTCCATTGTTCCTAAAACAGGATGCCCGCTAAGTATAGCCTCCACATGCTCCCACTGCAGCCCCTCTAGCTTATCAGTAATGTTTTAAGAAAAAGCAAAGTATTTTGAGAATCTACAGAAATACCCCTGAGACTGCTGGAACTGAAGCTAGTGGCAATGAGGGAGACATCAGAAAGTGTGTGTATAACAAGTCTATGAGAAAGAAAGAAAGAAGAGCTAAAGAGATGGAAGAGAGTCTTTCATGTGTAACTGTCAGATGGTTCCTTTCTTTTTTCCCCTGCTGCTCCTCTTAAAGAAGTAATCAAGCCATGCTCCAGGATAAGCCAGTGGCTCACACCTATATCCCATAACAGAAGATCCTGATTTTGTGTTCAGCACAGGCACATGTCTCGGGAAAGCTCTTCCAGACTTTCTTGAATCATTTCCAGAGCTCTCATGCAGGACCGGTTCTGACATGGACTAAGATGTTGCAAACAAGTGTTGCAAACTTCGGGTGGGCAAGCACTGGCATGCACAGCCAACAGCACCTAAAAAAAGCACGGATATTATCTTTCCTTCACTGCACTTTGCCTACAGGAAGTAACTTGCTCTATGTTGTTCCTCTAGGTCACTCAGCAGAGCAGTCTCTGCAACCAGCTCTTAGTGTTCCTGTGGTAGCCAGCATGAAATAAAGGATAATAAATGTGTCTTGACTTTTTGGGTTGAATGTTATTAGAAGTAATTTCTGCAACGTCTGCAGAGGGCTTCCAGTAAAAACACTTGCTATTGTGTTTATTCCATGGGGTCTCTGTTGCAGGGCCCTAACAGCTCACACCCCACATTACAACGTATTTGGTCTCAAAATATTCTAGAGTGGGCCAATAACAGGCCATTCAGCTGCACTGAATGCCTTCTAGAGGAACTTAGGGCACTGAGGCCATGGGAGCTCTACTCTTCAGGGGTTGGCTTTGAGGTAATTAAAAGCTGTCTCTGTCTCTGGCAGCCAGCTGAGTAAATGTACCATGTGGGTGGAACTTCTCATGCCCTACTGCAAGCGCTCCAGGCTGGCCTAGCTGAGTAATCAATGAAGCTGCTAAGAGCAGCAATTCCTGGTATTGCTCTGCTTAGAGGTGTTATAGGAATAAATGGATTTCCCTCTTTAACCTTACCGCAGAAAGGTGCTTTCCTAGCTACCCTTCTAGATGCATGACTGGAAAAGTCTTATTTGAGATCAGCTACTTCCTTCCCAAGAGTGAAAAA